ACGCTGCCGGGGTGGGATCTTCGCCAGCGCCGCAGAGAACACATCACCGAAGGCTCCGGCGCAATAATCCTTGGCGGAATCCATGAATTCCCCAGTGTTCCTGTAGCCGGAGGTGTCGACCAACCACTCCGGAGTGGTATCCTTGGCGGCAGGGAGCACCGGAACAAGCTTGAAACCGGCTCTCTCAAGACCGGTCAACTGGCTGCGGGATTCAGCCTGCAGGGCTGCAATCTCCCTCCCCCTGGCTGCAGCCTCCGCCTCAGCTCGACGGGCGGCCTCCCAGGCCGTAGCAACGGCTGCATCAGCCTTGGCCTTGGCCTCCTTCAGATCGGCCTCCCTGGCGGCTTCAGCCTGGAGGACTAGAAGCCCAGACTGGATGACAGAGGAGAAAGTAACGGTCAGGAGATGAACGTCAGGGAAAAAATTTACTCGGATCTAGCAATGAGGAATTACCTGAAGAGCGGCTGCCAGGGCAGCGCTGGTCGCCTCAGAGGACGAACGGCTGGGCAGCTCGAGACCGGCCTTGAGGGCCATCTCCCTCCAAAGCTCTTTCGCCGGGCGGCTCAACGACAGAGAGCCGGCATCTTCAAGCAGGGGCCCAGTGGAGACTGCCTCGCGGCCCCTCTTCTGTTTCTTCTCAGGGGCTTTCTCCACCCCCTTCTGAGGAGCCGCCTTCGTGGAGACGATCGGCGGGGGAAGGGCAGCTTCAAGAGCAGGGGCCCCGGAACCCTGAGCCAGCATAGTGGCGATCAAGTGCTGCTCACCCTCAGCAGTCCTTCTGGCAGCATCAGAAGCCGAGGAGTTGGACTCCGAGGCGGGGGCGTTTTTGGCTTTCGCCATCGCAGCTTTAGCCGCAGCCGCCTTGGCCTTCCTGGTTTTCAGACACTCAGCGTGATTCATCTGGTCTCTATCTGGCGGAGAACCTGCAAGAAACAACGAAGGATTAAAAGACGAGCGGGGAATACAATAAGACACTCACCTCGAAGGACAGGACCGCCGGTGCCCCGAGACGAGCATCGAAGGGTGGAAAGAGTCCAGGGACACGGGCGGTACCTATGCCTGCCCCGGAGAGTGCCTCGAAGGTCAGATATCCGGCTATGGGACGGACGCCGCCCTCCAACACCTTCCCCACGTCCAAAAGTAGATCGTCGGTCGGCTCCGGTGACTCAATCTTTGGGGGATAGCCATTCCACCGAAGGGGGAGAGGAGGCCCGTCGTATCGAAGGAAGAAGAAGCGGTTCTTCCAGTCGTGGATGGACGAAGGGTAGCTCTTGAACAACCGTCTCCCAGGACGTGCGGCCACGCTCAGATACCCGTCGGCATTCTGGGGAGTGACGCGGTAGAAATAGTGGAAAAGCTCCAGAGTGGCATCGACTCCCGCAAGTTTGCAGCGCACCAAGAAGGCCGATATGAACCTATAAGAATTTGGCATGAATTGCGCCGGGGCCACCTGGAAACAATGGAAGAACTCCACATAGAACGCATGAAGTGGAAACCGCAGCTCGGCTTCAACGGAATCCAGGTGAAGCATGATCATCCCCGAGCGTCGCCTCATCACGTGCTCGGCGCCTCTCACGCTCCAGACGAACGGCGGGGGGAAGAAAGTACGGATTTTGTTGAGGGCCACGCGGGAGAGGACTTGGTCGTGGTCAAGGGCGCTCCTGATCGGGCAGATGTGGCGCTCCATATCCGTAGGGATGCCCAAATCATACACCTCCATATCAGAGCCGGATTCGGCCTCCTCTCCAGAATCGTAATCGGCGGGACGCTCGTTCAGGGGGACTGCGTCAATGACATCTACTGCCCCGTCAGCATCCCCATCCCTGGCGCCGCTCCCACTACCTTGGGAAGCGCCATCCGGCTCACCATCAGCCCGGATGGTTCCCACCGTCGTGGCCGAACCCGAAGTTCCGGAAACGCTAGCTTTTCCCAGGGAGCGCGCATTCGCATTGTCAGAAGAGGAACCTGAAGAGGAACCTGAGGAACCGGAGCCAGAGCTTGACGAAATCTCCATCGAAGTCATTTCGGCTAGGAATCAGAACAAAGAGAAGAAGCATAGGGGGGAAATTACCTTACAAGGGGGTTAGCCGAATTCGGAAGCGGGGAAGAAGACTTGAAGAGCTGCGGAAAGTCGAAAGCAAGAGAGCAGAGATTGGGAACCCTAATTCAGAGGGAAAACCCGGCATTTATAGGAGAAACACCGATGGGGAAACCAACGAGGGGCTGACACGTGGCAAGGAGCGTATTCCGACCCACGCGCTGTGCGTGGGGCGAAAGCATAATGATGACATTTCCTCGGGAACTGCTCCGCCGCAACATCAGCCGTCACCTCGTTTCCTGAATCGTTGACAGCTGTCAAGCACCATGACCACGAGCGTACGCTTCCAACGGGTGCAGAAAACACAAGTATCAAGACGCGAACGTCTACCTTGAGGGGATTCCTACTTCCTTGTGTCCTGCGCGAGCCCAGAACATCAGAAGTGGGGGACTTGTGTTGGGTTAAGGGCCCAAGCCGAGGTCCGGCCCACTAACCCATATTGCCAGACGCACGTCCAGTTAGAACATCAGGCCAGCCCACAGGCCCATGTCCCTTGAGTATGGACGAACGTCTGGTGTTGGGGGCTCAGGCCCAGCGGCTCATCCCTACGAACGTCTGTGCAGGGACAAGGAGCAGGGCCACGGGATGGCGACGAACGTCTCCGGGGCAAGCCTGTGGTCATCGGAGGAAACCCAGCCCACATGGTGAATATCTATAAGGCCAGGAGACGAACAGCCGGTATCTCCTGAGGGTCACTTGGGGCGATCCAACTCACTTCCCGGGCGGACGAACGTCCCCACTGATTGGGCGGGAAACCCAGATTCTGGCGGGAAGTGCATTTAATGCTGAAGATTTGGTGGTTGGGACACAAGCGGTCCACAGGCTTCCACGTCAGCATGGCTACCTGCCCATTGGCGGGTATAAATAGAAGCATTTATTTCATTGTAAAGGGTTGGCAACTTTCTATTCTTAGCATACTAGCTTCAGCATTCTTACTCGCAGCATTTCTAACTGCCTTGTAAGACGAACGGCCGACGTGCCCTTTTTAGCAAGTAGATTGTACTTAGGGGAGTTATTACGAAGTTAATAATACCTATTTACATTGCCTGCTATTACTCTTGTTTCCTGATCCATCTGATAGCTGTTGGGCTAGGTATTCATATACTCACTCCACTCGAAATCTTTGGGCTTACGTGTTGGGTCCAAGGGTTGAAGGAATAAACCTCAACAACGCGAGTTATATTTTCCATACACGCAATTACATTTTCCATACACGCAAGTTACATCACAAAATAAATCCTATTATGTAAACCGAAAAAATCACTAATCACGCGTGTTTTATGTGAGAGATGCTAGGTGTTTGGGGAATGCGCTCCTTCTATCTAGGTTTGCGGTTTCATTCGTCCACCTGAAGCCTGCGCGGCGGCGATGCCGCCGGCGGAGCGCCTCAGACCAGTGGCCGTACCGTTGAAGCCTTCGTATGCAGCGGCGGTAAGGCGGCCAACAATTGCACGCTCAAGCAAGTTCATTCATCGACGCCGCTCGGTTGGAATTCCCACAGAAACCATCCAGATCTGTCAACGGTTTCCCTGTTGTATCTTTCTCCGAGGAGGATCTACAGGTTTTTTCTTGCCATTTCTGTTTTGCCCTTGTCGAGACGTCCTCTAATGGCCGCCCCCCACTCCCTTCCATTCGCAAAGCGTTAGAGGCGCTGGGTTTTTCCCAACCCTACTCTATGGGACTTGTTCAATCAAATATCGTCTTGAGAAATTTCAAATCGGACTTAGATTTTCAAAATATCATTTTCATTTTCATTTACCCCAGTGCCGCAAAGGCTCCCACCTACGATGGGGTATGGGGGGTCGGATGTACGCAATCTTACCCCTGTACTAAAGCACAGAGAGATTGTTTCCGAATGACCCATAGTGAAAATCGCGTCCGAAATTGCATGGACTGACTGCTGTTTCATAACAAAGAAGCGCAGATAGTTTAATGTGTCATTTTGCTTTATTCCATCATATTCTCAAGTCAAAAAATAATGAATCATTGGCTCCATTGCAAATGATGGAAAAGGACTTGGATTTTCAAAGATTCTGAAAAAAATACTAGGATTTCTTCGGATACAAAATGGCAGTTGCCCGATGGACACCCTATTTTCCCGCTGAACGAGATTCCCCCTTGGCCCATGTTTGGGTCGCCCTTGAAGAGCTCCCAATTCATCTTCGTGATATTAGGGCACCGAACTCAACCGCTAGCTTGCTGGGGAAACCAATTAAAATGATGCCCCCACTGCGAATTTTTCTCGACCTTCTGTTGCTCGAATTTGTATTGAAATCGATATATCCAGGGAGCTCCCTCCTAAAATCTGGATTGGAAATGGAACTACTGGTTTTTTTTCAGACTTGTCACACTTGCTACATGTTTGGTCATACACTCTCAATTTGTCCGAGGGTAGACAAATCAGTAGATGGTAAGGCCCCGATGGTTGCTGATGGTGACACTGTCCAATCCAGTGATGCCCCAACCGCTGCTATCTGTGATGTTAATGTTAGTATTGTTGTTCTGTCCCTGCGGTTGTTTGTGAAACTAAGGACCCAACAGTTGATGCTGGTGACTAGGCCTGTCAACAGGTCGGATACGGGCCAAAACTATAAATTCCATATCCATATCCATTGATTTTTTTGGTCTAGATCCGGACCCATTTACCCTTGGGGTCCTAAACATATGTTCCAGATTTGAATCCGGTGGGTCTTGGATCTGGGTCGGGTATACCCGCAAAAAAAACTAAATGACATATGCAAACAACTAAATGACATATGCAAACAAAAATAATATACAACAAAATGTTGGAAGAGATCAGAGAACCTAGGGCACTAAATCATTAGCGAAAATCTCATTATAGTGGGCCAACCACTAAATTAGCCTACAAATATTAAAACAATTTTTATATTTGATTATTTTCCTTATTTAATGTTTAAATATTTCTATGTATATTGTGTGTGTAAAATTTTTAACTATAATTATATCATCACAGGTCGAGTCCAAAACGGGCCGGAAATTAAAAATTCATATCTGACCCATTTTCTTTATCATGTAACGGGTTCGGATCCGGATCCGGAAAACGGTTATAAATATAGACCCATACCCTCAAATAAAGTGTCGGATTCGGATCAGGTCCGCGTCTAGACCCGGCCCATTGACATGCCCACTGGTGACACTGGTTACCAAACCAGTGATGCCCCAACAACTTCTAAAGAGCCTGATTGCGCCCCAGGAGTTTGGTGATAATCAGGTTACGCCTGTGATTTGAAATACTGTTTTGAATGTCCCAATTGTTAATGAGGACTCACGGTTTTAAGTCTGGAAACTCCTGATGCTCACACTATTGATGTTATTCCTAATGCTTCTGATGCCTTTGATGAGAATTATAATATCCCTGTGATTGAGAAAACTGAATTGGATGTTAATGCTCCAAATTCAGCTTCTGTGCCTCTTAATGAAGCCCTCCTCTTATTGAAGCCCTTACTGATTCTTCCAATGCTGTTACTTGTGTTGTCCCTATGAAAGTGGCCACCGTCCTTAATGATGCACCTTTTGATGGTTCATATGATCCCTCTTTTGCTACAGAAGTCTGTCAAACTGTTGCCCCGGTTCCAGAACTTCCCCCGCTATTAACCCCCTCCCTATAGATGTTGCCTTTACAGTTTGCGCTTTGGACCGTGTTGATTACTCTGTTACTACAGATGCTACCAAAGCAGTCCCCCCATTAGATCGTGGTGAACCCCGGTGGCTACCTGTATGAAGCCCCAGCAGGACATGTGGATCCTCCTTTGGATCCCAATATTGCAGTTACTACATCAAAAGAAATGTATTCTTTCTGTTTTAGGTGATGAGGAAAACCTACAAGGCTTCACGGAGGTAAAATGAAGAAAAAGCAAAGACCAGCATTCGTTCAGAACCCCCAATGAGGATACAGAAGGTGTACAACTCTTCTTCGACGTGGGCTGGACCGCACATCCGATGGTCACCAGAAGCCGCTCAAAAAGACCCCAAAACGAAACAAATTACTTCCTTTATCCGGTTGACGAGAGGTTTGACTCCCCACATACACTAGCTGCAGCTCTCAAGCGGTTTAAATTAGCTAAGCCGGATGCAAAAATTTACCAACCTTATCTGCAGAGAGCAATCAAGTTCCACAATAAATATAACAGATCTATATCTGCGTCACTTGGGATTCCCTCAAAAAAATTTAATTGCTTATGTAATTTAAATTTCCTGTTTTGCTTTACCCTTGTACTCTCAAACTTTATTCTAATAAATTTGGGAGGTGTTCCCCGGCACCCCCACCTTGTGTGGTTGAACCGGGACAAAAAAATATGTGAGAGTTGCTATTCAAAATTCATATAAATCTGCATGCATTAATTAAATAAATAGAAGTAAATAGGAATACTTGAATAAAACCAACCCCAATGAACCGATGTCTTCCTCAAGACGAGTTTACCTACTTGTGTTGTAGGTAATAGTATTCACGCAGCTGTGTGAGAGCACGATGCTCACCATGAACTACCCACAATATAACAACTGATGTTGTATGGGATGATAGAGATCATTTGAACAGAATTCTTGGGGCATCAGAGGAGAGTCATGGAGGTAAATATTTGGGCTTGCCGTCATTAATTGGGCGTAAAAACTAAAAAGAAGGGAAAATTCGAGTACATTAAGGAGAGGGTTATACAGTGTATTCAGAACTGGAATATCAATATTCTGTCTATAGCATGGCAAGTCCTGCTCAACTATTATTCAAACAGTTGCCACAGTATGCCCAATGTTTTTCTCTTACCAACTGACTTATGCAAGACATTGAACACATTACGAATGCATATTGGTCGAGGGGGCATGCACTCAAGGGAAAGGGGAGATATGTTACCTGTGGATGCCTCCTGATTGTATTGTTAATCTGCTGAAGAGTGATTATCATTAATAAAGTTATTTGATTATAAAAAAATAGTCGCCATTATTCTAAAATACATCAAGCACAACCGCATTGAAAATAATAAAGAATCGAATAGGGGCGATTGTGCTGAACCACTTGAGCTCATAATGAAATTCCCTTCCATCTATGCCGCTTTCTTTCTGTTCTTCAGGGTGCAATGGTAAATAAAGGCTGAAAACAAGAAAATTAGAGCATAAGAACTGAAACCATGATCGCAAGAGATGTATATGAATTGAGAGAAGATGTACCATTTCAACACTGACAGGCTTTCCATCTTCAATGTGTATTTCAACAACTGTCCCGGATATCTCAGCCTGTCAAAGTTCCAGAAAAATAATTATTTTGGCAGCCACAGGCCGTTAGCCCAAAAATGGTAGCATAGTTTATTAGCCGTGACTGAAAACTACTTTTGTACGTAGCACATGTAAAGAAACAATTGTGATTTTTTATATATCAGGAACAGATGCCCTCTCACAGCCTTACTTTTATACTGTGGTGACAGATAGTTTGAAATGTAATGTTGAAAGACGATGCCTAGTCGGGTTGTTTATTCAAATCTAACATAATCCAATAAGATCCTTGAACTTAAAAGACAGCAAATCCAGAACACCCAAAAGTCAACATAGGTTACATAGCCTTCTTTGCCCAAGTCGAGCTAGACACCCCGAATGAATGAACAAATGGGCCCTATAAACCATGCTGCCTCAAACCATCATCAAGTACTTAGATGCCCCTCAAATACACATCAGACTACGTTCTAATAGAATAATATCGTGTCAAATTGAAGCTAACTCACCCAAAAAGAAGTGGTGAGGTTTACTCCCACATTCAAGGTTGTCATGACTCATGACTGCTGCTATACCTCAACCTAGCAGACCACCTTTTCACCTAAGCTAGAATAGGCAACCTCACCTACCTGACAATTAGGCTACAAGTAGCCGGGTGCAGCAGTTGATTATAATATACTAAGGAAAGTACAAACTTTGGTACATGACTTACGGATGTATCATATCAACTCAAACAAGAATTGAATGTCTACGAAATCTCAGCAAAAAGCACTGACGTGATACTTGCAATCGCTATCTAAAGAGACTAAAATTATCATTAAAAAAGTCATCAACAAAGATAAAGTAAGAAAGACAAAACAATGAAGAACAGGGAAGAAAGGCGAAACAAAATGAAGAATGAAATGGCAAACATGGAGGATGATAAGAACAGAAAAGTAAAATCAACGGGGTGAACCGTTGCCCAGATAATCAACCATAAATATATATCGTTGCCCAAAGCCAAAAGGCTAAACCAAACTTTTATTCCAAGATTATCAAGAATGAAACATACAAGGGGTATAAATAACCCTCTAGGTCTAATAAGAATAGGAATCCTAATGAAATTATTCTAGGAAACTAAATAGAATAGGAAACCTCTAGTTCTAATAGAACTCCTAATTAAATCATTCTAGGAAACTAAATAGAAATAGGAATCCTCTAATTCTAATAAGAATAGAAGTCCTAAATAAATCCTACTAGGAAACAAATTAAATTAGGAAACAAAATAAAGGAATAATAAATATTAATTAAACAGCCCGTAACCGGCCCACGGAAGTGGGCCCAAGTCCGGTCCCGCCACATGCTCTTCCCGCTTCATATCAATCCACCCCCCTTAAAATAACCTTGTCCTCAAGGTTGAAAACTCGCTGATTGGGAGCTGAAATTTCCAGACATAGTATAGACTGGAAAATATCCTTCTTCTCCTTCATGAACCCTTTCCTGGCCGGTTATTTCGCAGAATTCATGCTGCTTGAGGTCCAACTCTTCATCCTCCTCGGCTATCATTACCCGCAGCTGCTTAAAGGGACAATCATGCCCTGGCGTGAATGGTTTCTTGCATCTAAAGCATAATCCTTTTGCCCTCAAATCTGCTAACTCTTTTGGCGCAAGACGGGTGAACTGGGATCGTGTCGTAGGCTGCCCAGACAGCCCTGACTTTGTCCCCAGAGGCTGTCCACTATCCTTCGCAAAGCTGCCCCCTGAGCCCTGTAAGCTGCCACCGGTGGCAGTCAACGGGGGACCCGTGTTTGCCCTTACAAAACTGCTGGAACGTACCCCCGAAGAATGATAATTCAGGCTGCCACTTTCTCCACTTTGGACGGACAGATTATACTCCACTTCGCGAGCTAATTCCATAGCCATCTCCAGGTTGTTTGGTCGAAGTAATTGCAGCGAGCTTCGGATTATCTCCTTAAGCCCACTCATGTAATAGCCCAAGTAATGATCGTCAGTTGATCCGGGTACTTGACTGGCGAGTTGTACAAACAAAGTATTGTAATCTTCCACTTGCCCAATTTGTTTAACGCCAGCTAGCCGCTCAAATCTGTTTCCTTGATATCGGGAATCAAATCTAGCCACCAAGGCTTGCTTAAATTCCTCCCAGGATATGCCGGGTTTGCGCGCCTTTAACCATGTCACCCAATAGAGGGCTGCCCCTTCCATAGAAACCCTAGCCGCTGCAATTTGTCTATCCGGTGGGGTCCTGTTGAGCTCGAACTGCTGCTCCACTCTTGCCAGCCACCCAATTGGGTCTTCACCGTCGAATGAGGGAAGCAGTGTCGTGGATGCGCTGCGCGGTCCGCCCTCGTCGGTGAAAGCAGTCGCGATGTGGGCGGAGGAGCCGCTCTCGATGGTCGTGCTTGGAGACTTCGCTGGCGGTACCATGGCCTTTGCGATTGCTGCCAGGGATTCTGCGATTTCCGCAAGCCGGGCGGCCTGCTCCTCCTGTTTCCGAGCCAGTACATCCAGTTTCTCTCCTTGTGAATCGAGCTTTTGATTTACCAGGGCCTGTTCAACCTCCAATTCCGTCAGTCGTTCGTTCTGAGTTCTTGTCATCTTGGCGGGACGGGGATCCGGCAGGTCGGACCAATTGATAAGAACAGAAAAGTAAAATCAACGGGGTGAACCGTTGCCCAGATAATCAACCATAAATATATATCGTTGCCCAAAGCCAAAAGGCTAAACCAAACTTTTATTCCAAGATTATCAAGAATGAAGCATACAAGGGGTATAAATAACCCTCTAGGTCTAATAAGAATAGGAATCCTAATTAAATTATTCTAGGAAACTAAATAGAATAGGAAACCTCTAGTTCTAATAGAACTCCTAATTAAATCATTCTAGGAAACTAAATAGAAATAGGAATCCTCTAATTCTAATAAGAATAGAAGTCCTAAATAAATCCTACTAGGAAACAAATTAAATTAGGAAACAAAATAAAGGAATAATAAATATTAATTAAACAGCCCGTAACCGGCCCACGGAAGTGGGCCCAAGTCCGGTCCCGCCACATGCTCTTCCCGCTTCATATCAGAGGACAACGATTTATCTTTGTTTTTCCTCTTGACTCTATTTATCTTTTTTTTCTGAATTGTGATACTGCTATTTAAATAAGGAGAAATGAGTGGTAAAGTCGGGTCAAATTTTTTTTGACAAAAAATCAATCATGGACATCAGTATGAGTGCCTAATCGACATTAAAGCAATGCCATTAAGCGTTTGTTTCTCTTCGGGCAAGCCTTTCCACTGTCTCGATGTCTAAGCATCGCCTATTAGACATCATGAAAACCATTCTCACATTTATGCAAAAGGAGCCCATTTGAACAAAATTTCAATGTGTGTCTACATTGCCATGTAAGTTTAATGGGGACCATATGATTGTATTTCCATATTTGTTAATGTGGGTACATGACACTTTGCCTATAAGGACTCCTTAGAAGAACTCCACATACCTGCTTCAGTCAAACCCAACATTGAAACTCACACACAATGGGGGTTTGGGGAAGGGATAATCTAGGTCATCTTTCCTATGCTTTTGCAAAAATAGAAGGATTCTATCCCGAACCTCCAGGCCACAATGGGAGAGACTCAACTAGTTGTGCCTATCCCGTTCCCCATATAAATCATTTACCAATAAAAAAGAAAAACAGAATTAGTCCTATGTACTTGAAATACTTAGAGATATAACCCACCTCAATTTCATTCATCAGCTTCATTGCCTCTACAATGCAAAGTATTTGCCCTTTCTTAACCGTGTCTCCTACCTGAGAAACAGCAAGTGAAATCATTATGTGTTGTGAGGATATGGAAATGGTCAAGTATAAGAGGCCTTCTTGGAGATGCACAAAAGAAGGTAGCATAAAAACGCAAATGGTTCCAGTAGTAGAACATGAGATGAAAAAATAGTATAAAAATATCAACTTTAAAAGTTGTAATAATTGGTGGATATTAAAATCAATATCATTTCTTTTAAAAAGGCCTGCATTTTGTTTTTTGGAGAGATGATCATATGATGTTACTGGTGTGTCAGATCTACTACGTATCTTTTTTATCGTCCTGATATTTCTCAAAATGTTTTGAATTAGTTATGTTTCTTGACAAGTTGACATTTTCCGAAATTTATGGCATCTAAAGGTTAATCGGTTAAGTGACCAACAGAAATCATAAATCCGCCCTTCTAGTGTAAACTTCTTACTTGTTCCATCTTACATCAAATGATGGAAACATTCAACACAACTTGCAATGTTATGCCCAAGTGAAAATTTAAGTTATTCCAATTTTCCTTGCGTAAACATGGATAGCAGTTAAAAGATTCCTGAAAAAGACTACTTTGTAACCAACAAAAGATCACACTTCAGAGGACAACATAAACACATTTGAGAATAACAATATAAGATACCTTAACATAAGGCGGTGCACCAGGGGAAGGAGCGCGGTAAAACGTTCCAGCCATGGGAGATTTCTGTTGTGAACCAGATAACTTTGGTTTTGCCGCTGCAGGTGGTGGAAGTGCAGGAGCTGCAGCAGGTGAAGGGGCAGGGGAAGGGGGAGGGGAAGGGGAAGGGGAAGGGGAAGCAGGTGCCATCAGAGGCTGGGCAATTGGCTGAGGAAAAGAGGGCTGCCCCGTTGAAACAGGAGCAGCCCTGATGTTCGTCTCTGGTAATGTTTCTGCTTCTTTCTTCCTTATTAGGATTTCACAATCCATTTGCTTTAATTTCACTTCCACAATGTCCTTTGAATCCACAAGCCTATGATCAGGGGGAAATGAATATAAAATGTAGAAGATGAATTTTTAAGACAAAGCAAGTGAAATACAAAAAATTCTGTCTTCAAATTTGTACTCACTTAACAAGGTTCACTGCTTGAGACAGGAGAACTGAAATGGAGGAAGCATCCGATACTTTCTTTTCAGCCTGGGGAACTTCTTCCTCAACAATAACCTTTGAATTGCCAGATTTCTCAACCGCACCATCCTTTTCATTTCGACAAATCACTAATTTAACTCTCATGACAAAATAAAAGATCACTTTCTCTGTGTTTGGACTTTGGATAAATTATCTCTTTCCTAGCTCACGAACTAGTATGAACTCTTACATGTTCACTCATGCATTCAATAGGGCATTCAGTTAATGTGTTAATATGACTTTGTATTATACATTGAAACGTACAAGAACAATGTTACAAATGGACACATAGCTCACTTCAGTCTTTCTATTTGGGACTAGTCTACTCTACCTCATTCCTTACGCATCTTCAATTTTCTCCTATCCCATTTCTGATTTCACTACACAGAACTAGAAGAATTGGTTCCTCTTTCGGTCCTAACTCCATTAAGACATTCCTAACTTTGATTCTTAACCTTCATTTTTCCTCTTGTGGTCCAACGTTTATAGATTCTTTGTCAACTGTTGTCCTTCCGGGTGCTATATCAGGAAAATTTTAATGAAATAGATAGGATAAGTGCTCAGAATGTCTACGCCTGACAAAAAATCTATAATCGTCAGAGCAAAAAGTAGAATAATGAAAGTTAAGGACATAATTATGAATGATCAAGAACAGTTTAAAGTGACAAAGAACAGTTTTGAATTAACATGAGTAATTAAGTGAAGTATACCTCATTGAGCTGCGCAGAAATCTTCAAGACACCCTGAAGGAGACAAAAGAATTGTTTTTGTTATATAAAGAGATAAAGAAAAATTAAGCTCACACCAGTAAAATTAGCCCAGAAAATATGTTTTTTTTTTTTAAAGAGAGATGGAGAGCAACCAATGTAACCTGATGGCGAGGGAGCGATCTGGAACCAGGCAGAAAACAAACGGAGCTTATATGCTGCGGAAGCTGGGGGCGGGACTGGTAGGAAGCAGCACCGAAAAGGGCGGAGGTCTTAGCGGAAGAGACGGCTAAAGAAGCCATATTTACAGACATTGGATGAAACTAGGAAATGGGATCAAGAAATCTGGGCAGAGGTTGGGATGAGGAAGAGCAGAAAATGAAGGTGGGCGTTTAAAAATTTGTGAGAAAATAACGAAGCGGTCAGATTGATGAGAGAAGAGCGAAGGCGATGCATCCGAGAAGCGGAAAACGTGACATTTGTGAGTTGCTGCAAGTGTATACCATGCAGAGTTGGAGACTAAGAAGCTGTTCTCTACTTCTCTATTTGCAACTGCTTAAAAAAAGTACTTCTCAGCTTTTGGCTTAAAAAAGCACTTATTTACCAAACACTACCAATTTTCACTTTTCTCGGCTTGCGTGTGAAAAGTGTTTTTCCCTTTTCTATTACACAAAAAGCACTTATTTTACCAAACACTACCAACTTTTACTTTTCAAAATCACTTTTTTCTCAAACACTATCAACTTTTACTACTAATCACTTTTTCCATACATCTCCAAAAGTTTTTTTTTTAAGCAGAAGCAGTTGCAAACACTCCCTTATTACTCTTAGACTATGTTTGGTATAAGAAGGATGTCTGAATTGTGTGCTATTGTTTGAATTAATTACTATTGTCTGGAGCTGAACTCTAAAGTGCTGGATCCAAATTACTAACTGGGGAAGTAAACCTGTTTGGTAAAAAGAGCTGAAAAATGTCCGGATAGTATGAAATTATATTAAAGGGCAAATGATTTATTAATAGATAAAAAATACTCCGTATTTATTATAATAATTTTAATATTTTAATATATACGGAGAATTAAATTTTATATTATATGCTTATATATACAATACGGAGTACTACGGTTGTCTCGTGTAAATAATAAATATGAAGTATAGAATTAATCAAATTGCGTACTCTCCTTTAGTTTCTAGTTTACCAATAGAGTAAAGGGTCAGTTTGGTCCTCGAAGTTGCAAAAAAGGCGTCAAATAAGTCCTTATATAGAAGATTCTGTCCGGACGTGCCATTTGAGGTGGCTCCCGGTGGAATTTTGTGATAAGTTTTTTGAGAATCTTATTCATTAAGTCTAGTTTACTCATACCAAATTTCAGCTAAAAATTCAATCGGGAAGACATTCAAATGAATTCTTGAAGATAACAACGCTTTTAACGGCACAGTCATCTTCAAGAATTCATTTGAATGTCTTCCCGATTGAATTTTTATCTGAAATTTGGTATGAGTAAACTAGACTTAATGAATAAGATGCTCAAAAAATTTCATCAAAAAATTCCACCAGGAGCCACCTCAAATGGCACGTCCGGACAAAATCTTCTATATAAGGACTTATTTGACCCCTTTTTTGCAACTTCGAGGACCAAACTGACCCTTATCCCTTTACCAATATACGCACACATACAGTGGAGGACCTGGGGTCCTAGGGGTAAGTGCCCCGCTTTCGACCTCGAACTTTAGTATTAGTACTTAGGATAAAAATAGTGTCACGCCTATCCGATTAAAAAATACTATGTATAACTATTAAATGAGGTAATAATCCACTTGTGGAAAAACGTTGATTTGGGGCACGGCATATGCAGCGGTTCTATAATAAGCGCCGCAATATTAAATAAATAATCAGATCGAAGACGCGCGGCGGTTGTTATCTAGAAAACCGCCGCCGTTGTTTAATTTTCTTTTTATTTATATAGTCCGCGGCGGTTGTTAGTGTAGAAACCGACGCCAAAAAAATTAAGACATTTAAACGACAATAAAATTATGAATGATTGCTTACGATTAGACACGATCCTAAATGTAATATGAAAATTATAAGCAGTGCAAAGATGATTCAGTTGTAATCGATGTCATGTCTTTCTTTCAAAAATCAAATATTATTGTTCAAAATTGTCTTAATAGGTTGAAACTAGACCTATAAATCATAGGTGTACATCCCTTGGAAATATGGGTATCAGAAGTATTGATATTTTAAAAAATAAGCCTGATACTTTTATTAAATTACGAATACAAACTCAATACATACATGAATCGTATTGGTGAGTATGGATATTGGATACGTATAGGCGAATATGGCCTCGCAGTGAAGTATGGGTGCTCGAAAAACATAGTAATACTACGAGTATATGATACTCCGTACTTGGATAATGTAGAAGCTGTTTACTTCACATGATTTGAATGTTTCTGATCTGAATATTTTAAGTTCTGATCTGAATTCTTCTGATCTGATCTGATCTGAATCTTTCTGATCTGGACTGATCTGATCAGAATGTTTCTGATCTGATCTGAATTCTTCTGATTTGATCTGAATTTTTATGATCTGATCTGATTTGATCTGAATTTTTCTGATCAGATTTGAATTGTTCTATGATTGTAATTATAATTATAATTATTATAATTATAATTGTAATTACAAATATAACTTAAATAAAATTATAATTATAATCATAATTAAAAAAATATAATTATAATTAAAATTAAACTTAAAATTATACTCCCTCCGTCCCTCAAAGTTTGTCACTCTTTGACTTTGGGCTAATTAAGAGAAGGGAATAAATGTGTTTGACTTTCCAAAAAGACCCTCACCTTTGTGAGGGTATTACCCCAAAATGTAATTCGGTAAAAACATAAGGGAAGGGATGGGGCCGAATAAAGCTTGCAAAAGTAGTGGTCAAAAATAAACAAAGTACTAATGACAAGATGGTTCTACAGTATACTTGCAAATTGTCTACCAAGACAATTTGGAACCCAAAAATTCGAAACTCCCTCCAAATTTTAACTTCACATCCTTTTACATCTGCGAATCCGTACAACTATACATTCCACTCATTTATTACACCACAAGTAAGCATTCAATACAACCCTTCACTGGAAAGCAGTCCTGCAGCGCCCTTGGATGTGGTGGATCTCAGACTGTCTTCACCTCCTAACAGCTCAGAAGAAGAACAAGCAACTCCAATTCCTACAGCAGAAGCGCACACAGGTATCAGGCGAAAACTAACAACTGATGATAGGAAAATTTTAGTTGAAAATTGTTAAGGTAGTTCTTGTGCTGGGAAACTTCAGAGGGGTGTAATAAAAAATATAGTAAATGAGTTCAACATTTCATCCCGCATTGTAATCAGGATGTGGCAGACAGCTAAAGAGCAAATACTTGGTGGTCAGGCTGTAAATTTCCAAAGTCATTACAAGGGACATGTAGGCAGAAAGAGGGTTGTGTTAAATGCTGAAAAGCTGACTGAAATACCATTGCGTAAAAGGAAAAATATGCGTGCTTCGGGCTATGCAATGGAAGTTTCCAAATCCACAGTCCACAGATGGTTCAAAAGAAAGGAAATTAGAAGACATTCAAGTGCTATGAAACCCTTATTGAGTGAAGCTGGGACACTTAAAAGGTTAGAGTATTGTTTAAGTCACATAAACCTAGCTTCCCTTCCTGATAGCCCTACTTTTCATGACTTTCATAACTACTTACACATTGATGAGAAGTGGTTTTACCTCTCTAAAGAAACAACAAGGTTTTACACTCTGCCTAATGAAAATGATCCATACAGATGAGTGCAGTCCAAAAAGTTCGTCCCAAAAATCATGTTTTTGGCTGTGGTTGGTAGGCCAAGGCTGGGTCAGAATGGGGAAGTGGAGTGGGATGGTAAAGTAGGTATATTCCCCTTCACTTATGAAGAACCAGCTAAAAGATCAAGCAAGAACAGGCCTGCTGGGACTCTAGTCACTAAACCAATCACAAGTGTGACAAGACCAGTTATTAAAGATATGCTTTTGAATACAGTTATGCCAGCAATTAAGGAGAAATGGCCAGATTCTGAAAACAGAAATATCATGATTCAACAAGACAATGCTAGACCACATATTCTAGTTGATGACCCAGATTTTGTCAAGTGTGGGACAGAGAATGGTTGGAAATCCAACTCATATGTCAGCCTGCAAATAGCCCAGACCTTAATGTGCTGGACTTGGGGTTCTTTAGGGTTATTGATTCAATAAAAGATCAAAAGGCACCAAAGACTATAACACAATTAATTGATGCAGTTCAAGTAGCTTTCAATGAGCTAACACCAAGCACTTTGAACAAGGTATTTCTAAGCTATCAAGGTGTAATGCAAAGTGTACTGCAAAACAATGGAGGCAACAATTTCAAGTTGCAGAACATAGGGAAGAAATCTTTGAAAAGGCAAGGGTTGTTACCCAAAAATATCCAGATGAGTCCAGAGCTATATGAATCAGCTAGGGCATATCTAATTGGACATATGGCAACTACTACCAATGCAGACCAAAGTGAAGAACAGTTCATAATTGAAGAGTAGATCTTTCTTCACATATGAACTGCTACAAAGGTGTTTTGCATTCACATTTTTTTCCTTTTTGGTGTATGTAAACACACTTTGTGTCTAACAATATTTATGTATGTACATGTACACACATACAGTACACATTATAAATGTACTGTAAAAGTGTACACAGGTTTTTTGTACACACAGATCCACCAAGTCAGTTGCACTTGTAATCGAGCCTCGCCCAGTTTATTCACTGGGCTGCTACAATTACAGTTGCAATCATAAGCAACATGTTCATACATTCAAGTAGAACTTTAACCCCAATTCATCATAAATTTCAACCAACATAACAAAAACCCTAGACCCCATACAAGCGATACTATAACTCAATTACCAACATCATCCTTTAACAGACCACACAAGCCCCGGAGATGTAAACACACAGACCAAATTAAGAATAGAGGTAAAAGTAGAGGGTACTACCCTTAAAAGTGTCCTGCCCAGCCACGGCCCGTGCATGCTCCTTTGTTCCCTCCGCCATTGCCGAGCATACCTCGTCCTCCTCATCCACGCCATCCAGCGAAGCAAAACTGTCAGAAAACACTCTGTCTCCATAGATCTTTCTCCGAGCCCAAGTTGGGCCGCTTTCATCCTCACTGGAATAGCCAAAGCGAATACGTACATGCATACGAAACGGCTCCAGTCCGGATTGCTTTTCTGGGACGCTGGATAACAAATCAAATCATTATTCGAATAGGTTTGCTCCTGGATATCTAGAATCGATGTTGCATGTGGTTGGGTCAGAACATTTGATATTTGAATCGGACGGACAGGGGTGGGATTACGCTTCTTTTCCATGTTCAGATATGGGATCGGAGTTGGGCTGGTTGCGATGGAGATATGAGGGAAGTAGGGGTAACGGCGGAGG